GGTCACGCTATAAGTTGAACAAACGTTATAATTCACAACGAACGACTCACACGCTCGACCCAACTGTCCGTCTTTATCTCTGTCTGCAGTTCAATTACATTGTTGCCGTCACTTCTTGCCGGTCTTATATGCAAGAATACCGCATATCTAGTAAACACTCGAGACATAAACGTTCTAGAAGCTCATGACGTGTTACCAGAGTCACGTGACTTCCGTTGTTGTAACAATAACTAGCAAATATATATATATTATAGAAAATTATTAGCGCTTCTATATTCCGATTAAATAATTCTCTCACATTTTATTAAACGTATTCTTGTACGGACATCCTTGCTGTAGTGGAATGGCGTACACTGTGGTGAAAAATTGATCTTTGGCAATAACAAACCGCTCCCAACCCAGTCCAGCCGCCTTTGCCTCTAACGGTGCCAGGGCGAAAATAAAAGCAAAATTTCTCTCCAAAGCCCAGCTCATTCCTTGGTCGAGATTTTTTGCCGTTGTTTCCTTCGGGTTTTCTTTCATTCTCTTTCCAAGCGTTAAAAACGTTCCTTCCGTTGCCACCTGAAGATACAAAACTATCCATATAATTAAATGTTTAACTTTGAATTACATTCGGCGCTTTATTTTAAACTCCAAATGAAATGTTAAGAAGCATTAAAGGGTTAGTATTGAATGCAACTATTGCCTTATAACCTGATATTATGGGTCGAAACGTTGTAATAATTAAAGTTAGAAGTTCCCTAGAATAAAAGTTGCTGTTATAGTATTTTTTCAATTAACGAATCAGTACTTTCCGCAACATACGTTAATTCATGCTCAATGTTTTACTTAACATTCACATTTTATCATAACCAAGAAGTCATTAAATTCATTCTAGACAATATACCATACCAACGTAAATTTGAATCACAGATAACTGATAACACTAAAAAGAAAGAAAAAATTCATGACAGCAAAAAAGCTTTATTCGTAGGTTCAGTTTCAAATACTAGATGGTGACTTTTAAACATTAAAAGAGGGTAATTGCAACGTAAAACTTTAATTTATTTTATTTTCTGATATTCGTTATGCTTATTTATCTAATCTTACGTTTATGGATTAATTTTCTTTAAACTACTGTAGACACGTATATACATATGGAAATTCACAATCTGACACACAGTTTTCAGATTGTATTACCGAGTCCCACTACATTACCTTCTTGAAGTGCAGTGCTGTGTTAAGCCTAACCTTGGTACATTTTCTATGTTGCTTTATTTCAACATAAATTTACTGTAAATTATACTATTATTAGACACTATCTACTAAATGAGATTGGAACGGTGATTCGTATCCAGTATCAGTAACAAGTAATTAATCAAAATAAATTTTTACCTGTTATTCAAACACACTATTAATAGTAAAAGTAAAAAGTTAAGTTAAAGATAAGAAATTATTTGTATTCTTATCTTGCTTTACTGCTAACTGGAGTTTATTCCGAAACATACTTTCTGCAATAGACATTGCACGATCTTTTTCTTCAAAATTATAACTTGTTATTTCGCTTTAATTTTTCTAAAACTTTTAAAATAATGTTACGTCTCTGTGTTCGTTTGTTAATTTCTCGTACAATTTATTTCGGATGAAACTTTAGCGATAAAAGTCCTTTCTTAAATAAAACTAGTTTATTCTTTCTCAATACAACTTTGCAATACACTTAATTTCTACAGTCACTTTAACTTAAACACACGCTATAATTCACAACGATTCACGCACTTTATTTACGGTCACTACCGCGCTTGACTCAGTTGTTCGTCTCTATCTCTGCCTGTCTGCAATTCCAATTCCGATTAATAGTCTTGTTTTATCTGGCGCACTTATATACAAAAATAGAGGGCGCGTAGAAAAGACTAGAGTTGCCACGAACAGACATGATCCTTCTAGAATCTCATGACGTGTTACTAGGGTCACGTGACTTCCGCTGTCGTAACAATAAAAATACGATCTGCATAACTGGCTACCTATGCTGTAAAGTGTAAATGTACACATTTTTGAACTAAAGAAAATAGTGCTTTCGCTACACCTTTATACCATGAATATTTTCACATTTAAGCCTTTTTCGTTCGTTATTGATTCTTATAGGTGGTTATTTACGTGCAACTTACCTTTTTCTTTTTTTTTGTAAATTAGGCAACAGACGCTTACCAAGAAATTTGTTAGAAATGATGTGCCTATAACAGTCCCAGCTTTCATCTTTTCTCTGACAACAGAGGACTCTAGTTTCCCTACGGTGTCCACTGCTTCGTTCATGCCGGGGACATTCATGAATGACGTCAATGTGCCGCTGTAAGCCGAGATCACGATTAGAGCGAACATCCACCAGAAAGCGACCATCAATCGGAAGCTGTCTCGTTTAAGAATATACACGTTCGTAGCTAGAACATATGAGAAGGGAAACATAAATGTTTGTTAAATGAAAGTGCCGTAAGAAAGATATAACATTTCAGTAAACACGTTTTATCAACTTCTTGTTTGTATTAGAGCTACCGTAATTATTGGTTCCTGAAATTTATGAAAAGTTTTAATAATGACATATGAAAATAATAATGATTATGTGATTATTCGGGGACATTTTAGGTATTTTGAGATAAACAACACTATCCTGATCACGTGATTTTAGAGGCTTCAAATGTGTTCAGAATAAATATATAATTCAACCATTCCAAAAGGGGGCAATGTGTCCATCTTAACGACAACAAGGTGCCGAATTACGTTTTCCTAAAGTTAAAATTAAACTTAAACTCTTTGATGATTAATAAGACAGTATGATTAACTTAAGTATATCTATGTCTGTTATATTTTACGCTTTGTTAACGAAGAAGTAACATGATTTAAGGATGGTGTACATTTGTAAAATGCGTTATTGGTTAGACCACATCTTCATGTAAATTAGGAGACAATCAAGGCTTTTTCAAGGACAATTTTCCACTTTCAAAGATAGAAAAGGCAAAAATAATGAAATATATTATGGCCCACAAAAAGTTGTTTGTAATATAAGTATATAAATCTTTATCTCTAGACAAAGTTTAAGTAGCAGTACAATCACCTCGTAAAATATATAACTATTACGTAATAGCGGTAGGACGTTTTAAAGTACATAACAGTATTTTAAAGTTCGTAACAACATTACGGACTCTTAAAATGCATAACAGAATTGAGACCTTTTAAAATGCGTAACAGCATTATGGATTCTTAAAATACATAACACAATTACAACCTCGTTAAATATGTAACAATGTTACGACATTACAAAATATTGTTTCGTCTCTGTTCGTTAGTTAATTTTCCGTAAAAATTCTTTCCGAAGACACTTTACCGATACAAGTCCTTTCTTAAATAAACTGGTTTATTCTTTCTGAATACAACTTTGCGATGCACTTAATTTCAACAGTCGCGCTATAACAAACGCTATAATTC